CACATCAATGTTTCTCTCTCTTCTCCTTTCTTTTCTCTAAAATCAATAAACATATCCTTGAGTGAGGATTGAAAGTCTTTTAAATAGAAAATTAATGTGATATATTATTATTATTAATGTTGATGTTATGCAGAGAAACCTAGTAATCCTTTCAAAAGCTAGACAGTTAATAGTCCACATATTACAGTGACAGATTCGAATTAAATATTTAAGAAATGGGACATTGTTTCCAATCATGGTATAATGTGTGAAATGCCTTGGAGATATGGAAAAATTCTTTCCATAGTTGTTTAGCCAGAAAAAGAAATAACAATTAATAAAGGATTGTGTGTGGCTCCCAGAACCTGCAGTGTTTCCTCTGAGGAGGGAGGCCGTGTCAACAGCCCAGAGGAAGCAGGGTTCAAAGGAAATTCATCTAATATTTGTGCCCTGGTTATGAAAGGAGGTAAGAGGCTGTTCATCAGCTGCATGTGGCCAGTTGGCAGGGAGGGCTGCAGGCCAGGCGAGGGGTTACTGTGATCACAGATGGACTTAGTCTGGGAAAGGAGATGCCAGACAGTCCCAGGCAGTGCATGCTATTTTGAGGGCTTTACACAAATCATTATTTTTTCATTCTGTGCCAGTGTTGATGCAGACAAATATATTTGTTGATCAGCTATTGAATATTTGTAGATTACTAAAGTAGTCTCATCCTTGGAGACATCACTCAAGGATTTATTTAAATAATGATTGATAATTACTTCTAAATATGAGGCATGCCTTCCTTTCATCAAAAAATTATAGATTTTGTACTTTATATCAAGTGCATGCCACAAAATCTTTACAAATAAGGGTATGAAATAAAGGGAACTTATTTTAGTCAACAAAAATAGTAAATTTGCAATCCATCATTTATTTTACAAACTTAGAAATAGCTGTTTTCACTAGAGACTTTCTTAAAGACATAGAGCTGGCTCAAGGAACTCAGGAAACATGTCTAAGTCTGGATTCCAATAGCCCTTCTGTGTAAAGCACGGCTGCAAACTTCCAGGAGGTTTGATAACCAGCCCTCAGGCTCTCGTCCTCACTCTGCCACTTAACTGACAATTAAATTTGGTATATTATTAAGGATGGATCTTGACAAGTTTTGAGGTTTACTCATAGGCAGGGTGAAGGGTTGGACTTTCAAGATCCCCCCAACTCTGAAGTGTAATATGACAATGATTTACACATGAGCTAAAAAGAATAAAACTGCTGCCCACAGAGCTACTGGTTAATCTGCAGCTGGAGACATGCCTGGCCACTCATGCCCTTCTCCACTGACATCTTCCCCATTAACAGCTTTGGCCGCTGGATCCCATCCCCCCCACACGGTTGTCACTGAGCTCCCTGGCATACTTGCCCCCTTCCTCAGGGCTGTCCCACTATATTAGCAACAGTATGTGTTAAGATGATTTTTTCCCATTCTATTGGGATATAATTGACAAAGAGAATTTCTGAAGGTTCCTGTAACCTAACCTCACTTGAAAACTTCCTACTATAGAAAAAAAATTGATGACAAATTTCAAACAATAACCTACAAATTAACTTTTGGAGCCATAGTCTTTTGGAAAACATAGCTTGTAAATAGCAGAGCTCTAGAACCAGGCTCCCCAGGTTAAAAAATGGGCTCTGTTATTATAAGCTAGGTGACCTTGAACAAGTTCTCTGTGCCTTTGCTTCTCCACCTGTGAAATAGGAATTATCAAAATATCCACCTCATGTTGTTTTGTTTTGAGAATTCAGTTAATAAACATAAAGCAATTAGAATAGGACCTGGCACCCAGTAAGTGCTGAGAAAATATTACATAATATAAGCTTTAAGTATTCTCAAAAGTGAAAAATCCCTAATCTACGAAGATGTAATTGGCATTTGGGAACTACCCAAAAGTCATTTGGAACGAATTCTGATTTTAAAAAAGTAAAGAAAGCCCTGGCTTCTGTGGATTGATCACTGGCCTGTGAACCAAAGAGTCACTGGTTCGATTCCAGTTGCAGCACATGCCTGGGTTGTGGGCCAGGTCCCCAGTAGTGGGTGCTTGAGAGGCAACCACACATTGATGTTTCTCTCCCTCTCTCTCTCCCTTCCCCTCTCTCTAAAAATAAATAAATGAAATCTTTTTTAAAAAGTAAAGAAAGTTTAATAGTTTGCATCAAAATTATGTGAATATATATGATGAGACTCATTTTTTCATTTAGTTTATTATCAGGTAAGGATAAATGTATTGTGTTTAGAAGGGATGGCTTTCAATATGATGGTTTCCTTAGAGACTATACATACTAAACACTAAATTACACTGTGGCTATACCGTGTGCCTGCTGACATACAAATGCTGTCACTATACTTCACTGCTCATTTCTACAAATGGCAGAGGAAACACTGATCTCCTTACCTTCAATGGAATCCACCAAATAATATCTGTGAGGGATGTTCCTGTGTTTGGGGGAAAAACAACTTCTTTTTGTTAAATAATTTCAGTGCTCAGCCTCACAGTTGGGATTGCTAATAAAATGGCATACAAAATTGCACAGCTATCAAAATTAAAACACATTTCAGGGCAAATTGTACAGTCAATTTTGGAATTTGTGTTTTATCACAATCACTATATAATTTACAGTATAATTTGTTAGCACAGGTGGTTTGCTCTGCAAAACTTTTTATATTTTTATCTTACTATATCTAAACTAAAATATAAGCAGTTTAAAAATCTCCAGTTCAGTTTACTAGACCTCAGTAGGAAAAAAAATCCTGTTTTAAACTTTCCTCTTATACCAGCCTTAAGACATATTTTATTTATCTATTTATATTTTGCAAACATGTTTATTGAGCTCTTTCTATGCCAGTCACTATTATAAGCTCTTCAAAATATTAGCTCAGTTTTTACTTAAAACAACCCTGTAAGGTTGGTGTTATTATATCCCCATCTGAGAGATGAGAAGCCTGTCCCAGGTTTCCAACAGGAAGTAGTGAACTATGACTCAAATTCAGATATCACAAATAATGTTTTGATCAAAGTATGTAAGAGTGGTTATTTCACTTAAAGAAAAGTCTTCCCTTTCTACTATTTCTTGAACCTTTGAAATCCGGGTCTCATCTTCATCAGCTTAATTTAAAAATAATCTATCAGGTCAAGCAACCCACATGCAATATTTATTTTCCAAATCATTAGGTCTGGAAAGATCATCCTCAGGCATGTGGGGCAGTGGCACCGGGGGCAGGAGAATAGAAAAGGGGAAATCCCAGAAAAGCCACTGAAAGTCTGCACCACATTGCTGAAGAATGAGTCCCAAAGAGATGAAGGCCACTGGGCAGGGGAGGCCTGGTCTGCTTTGAAAAGTGAGGTCATGCTCAATGTTTTAAACTCATTAGTCTTGCCTAAAAAAAGGATAGGAGTAAAAAAGACAAATTAGCAGCCTTTTCAAAAGAAGTTAAATATGTGAGGCAGTAAAGTGTCCTAATTCTGCCTTCAGGGAACATATGTCAAACCAGCTTGTAGCTCTACATTCGGTGAAACCATCTGCAGGGAATATCCCACCCCTCACTCTGGTTCCTACAACATGTGCCTTTGAAGGAAATGGTCCAGTTGGTCAAATGCATGTGGAATTTTCTCAGCATTACCTAATTAAGACATTAAGCCAACCTTTTCTGAACAAAAAACAATTTGTTACAGCCTGCTAAAAGAAAGCACATCAATGGCTGGGACTAACGAGGACAGCAGAAATAGTCCAAATGACATATTACCTAATTTCCCTGTGTTTTCAGAACCACCATTACCTACAACTCATAACCACTTTCTGAGCCTTTGAGAAGAAAGTCATAGATAGGTACTTGCTCCTCACAGGTGTTTATTTCTAAAGCAATATCAAATTTAGTGGCATTTTGCTTTAAGAACTATAATAATTGCTGATTCTTTGTGCTAATAGAAATCACTAAAAGAGGACACATAATTCCAAAATGTAATACTGTTATATAGACATTAATTTTGTTATCATTAAAGTTATGAATGAAATAATATATGTAAACATTTAGTAGGTTGCTCAAAGTAAGTGGTCCATAAATTAATTTATAATCATGTATATTTATGCCAGAAATGAAACTGACCTTACTATGTTTGTTGCTATAGCTATATTCTACTTCATATTTTCAGATACCAGGATAAGAGTTTCTTACTTGGGGCTTTTCATATTTCTGAAATTGTATACAGCATTGGATATGATTATACATTATTTCTTGAGACAAGGGATAAAAACTTTTATCAGATACTCATCAAAAGGATACCTTGTGCCCTGGCTGGTGTGGTTCCATGGACTGAGTGTCAGCCTGTAAACCAAAGGTTGCCAATTTGATTCCCAGTCAGGGCACATGCCTGTGTTGCAGGCCAGGTCCCCAGTAGGGGGTACGTAAGAAGCAACCACACACTGATGTTTTTCTCCCTCTCTTTCTCCCTCCCTCCTTCTCTCTAAAAATAAATAAATAAAATCTTTTAAAAAAAGGATGCCTTGATTCCTCTAAAGTGTTAAGAATCACTGGCCCAGAGTAACCATTTGCTTTAAATTGTCTTATATGGAGCCAAACTCTGTTGTTGGATGAAGCCACAAATATCTTTTAAAAAATGTCATGTTTTAGACTCAGCTTGGTAGTCATAGAATGACTTATACAAATGTTAACCCTCGTGCCCAATATCTCTCTCCTTTCTCATCACCATCTTTGCTCTCTGGCCATGGACTGTTGCTACAGGTAGTTTGGACTTGAGAAATGAGGACAAAAGTGGCAAAAGAGAGATAAAAGTTCTAAGGACCCTTTGGAGCAATTAAATCCTACAAAGAATCATTGGAGTTATCAAGAGCATCTCCCTTTATTTGTTTCTCCTTCAGTCACAACCTCTTTCAATGTTCCAAATGTCACAGTTGAAATCTGGTTACTCTAAATGGAATATTTTATTTAAAAACCTCTCACAGCTCCTTTCTATTTCCCTCTGCAGCACAGAAATCAGGAGACTGATTCTTAGAATGCCAAATATAAACTTCAAATCAATATGAGTGTATGCAGCAGAAGGGCATACTCAGAAGAACTTCCCTGGATGCCGGTGGAAGCCAAAACGATCCAATTCTCCTGCACATTGTATTGGCATTACTGCACTAACGGTAGTAAAAGTTTGTTTCTTTATGTAAAGGAAGCAGATGTGACTTGGAGAAACACAGAGAACAGATGTGCTGCTCAAAAGATTTTATTTAAATGGTAATTTATCTGACCATAAGTTACATAAACTCACGAGGTGAGTGTTTAACATAACTCTTTTTCAGCAACTCAGAAAGATAATTTATATAAGTGCCACAATAGATCATGAATTAAAGAACGCACTCCACTCACCTTCACTTGCTTTTTAAGAAAATTGTGCTAAACAAAAATTGTCTAGCCTTCAAAGCATGTAAAGTCTTACTAGCCACTAAAGAGGCCTCTGTGTTCAGAATGTCTGGGCATGCAAACTTCACAGAAACAAAATTTCACTGTCGTCACCGCCACATGGGCTTTTGAAGAAGCTGGTAAAGAAATGGAGAGAAGAGGGAATTTCAGGGGAAAAAGGGAAGGGTTTACAGGAACAAATTTAAAGGACACATGGACAAAAACTAGGGGGAGGGTGGTAATGGGAGGGAAGTGGGGAGGGTTGGGTGGGTGGGCTGGAATGGGAGTAAAAGAGAGAAAACTATACTTGAACAATTATTAAAATAAAATTAAATAAAAAAAGAATTGCTCAGACCCTGCACATAGAACTTGAAACACTTGCAAAAGGCTAAGTGTTTAGCAACAGCACTTCACAAGACTTGAAAGAATGGGCACTGATGATGAAACACTGCCTGTGCTAGAGATCCCTCAGGGTACAAGTCGGAGACAGCATCTCCATAAGCACAGTGGGAACTGAGCCTGGGGCACACAATATTTTAGGGGTCCAGGAAAATGTGTGAATTTCCTTAAAACTAAAAGAAAAAAGTAAACTTTTCAGAGAAAATAGCCTCTATACATAATATTTTTTAACATTCAACAAATTTTTTTTAAATTTTAAATCCTCTCCCGAGGATATGTCTCTTGATTTTAGAGAGAGAGAAACATCAGTGTGAGAGAGAAACATGGATTGGTTGCCTCCTGTACACACCCTGACCATGGGTCAAACACACAACCTCCTGGTTTTGGGATGATGCTCCAACCAACTCAGACACCCAGCCATGTCTCAACAAAAATACATTTTATTTTATTCCTAAAATTCGGTGTGTTTCAATAATTAAAGTCACTTCTAATGTTTCTCCTTTATGGAATATAAAAACAAGTTTTGTTTTTAAATTATAGATGCCATTTATTTATTTATTTTTAAGTTTTATTTTCCAAGTACAGTTTGCATCCAATATTATCACTCTATATAATATTAACATATTCATCTTCGTATAAAAAATTTTAAGTATTCCTGTCACAGACAGAGCCCACAAAGGTGGAAGTGCCCAGGACCCATGAATGTCAAAAATGCAACTGTGGGAAAGCCTGGGCCACTCACTCTCCTTCCTGACTCCTAACCAGGTCCCCCGCCCAGATGCCTTTAAACTCCAGCACCCTCAATATTGTTGGCTCCTACTCTTCCTCCTCCCTTCTTTTCCTTCTCTATACACTTGTACATAAACCCTAGAGGCAATCTAAACAAAAAAGGGTTTAGATGATGATGATGATAATGATGATGATGCTAATTCAGTATTGACTGAGCACTTACTGACATACTAAACTTATGCTAAAACTTTGCATTTATGATCTAATTGAATCCTCAGTACAATTTTACAAGATAGGTACTATTAATAGCTTTGTTCCTAAAGACAGGAGAACAGACTTGAGGGAGCTTAAGTGCCTTTTACGAGGACACACAACCAATAATGCCAGTTAGAGCAGAGTGGGAGCCACACCTCAGGCTTCCTTGACAGCAGTTATGGGTTTGGGAGTCAGTCCATGGCTTTTAACCAACCACTAGGTTTAAAAAATGTCTGGAGACACTTTGTTAAGATTCAAACTTTTTTCTGATAAAATAGTTTCCACAGAGGAAATAGACTCTTACTCTCTCTCAAGAGCAAGAACAAACTCTTACTTTTGCAATGAAATTGAGTATTTCTCTACAACAGACGCTATTGTTGAAAAATTAAATCACATTCCTCTGGTATATTGAGGTAGACAAGGTAACCACAAACCACTATGGTGAGTATATAATTGGTATTACAACTTTGACAATGAACAAAGTTTTTATTTAGTAATTATTGATAAATGTTCTTCTATTCTTTTATTATGAATATTTGTTAATATATCAGGCAACTACCCCTTGAGCTATTTGGTAATAGTTCTCTGTAGTATTGGAAAGGTACAAAAAATAAATGGGAAAATTATAAAGCTTTTGCAAAAGTTGTGATTTGAGTCATTCACACATCATTTAATAACTTAGCATCTAGATCGCTAATTATTTTTTAAAAGAAAGCAGCAAATGCCAGTTTTAAATGCGTAGCTAAGTGCTGCACAAGACTTTTCTTCAAAGGGTATTTTCTCTTTCCTTGGTATTTTCCTTTTATTAATAGCAATTTATTTTAAAATGAAAGCTGTTTCTAAAACTGGATCCATGAAGCATATTCTCCTACGCTTCTGCTCTATGACCTCTCTGTAGATTATATTTATGGTTTTATTCTGGCAAAACGCGTTTGGGGCAAAATGCATATGAGACCATAGATCATCTATGGAAATCAACTTCTGTGGATGCTATATCATTATCTGTGAAAAAAATTTGGTTTAGAAAATATTAAAAGAAATATTTCCCCAGAGGTATCTTAATTTCCTTAGAACATAAATATATTTTATTAATTCCTAAGTATGACATATCCCAGCCACAATAAGTTTATTACTTTCTAAATCTTTCTTCCTAAGAGCAAAACATTATGCCACTTATGAGTAAATCAAAATGAAATAACATTCTATATATGTTATATGATCTTTTAACATTTTATTAGCAATCATATTTCTATAATTGAATGCATATTTCTGATTATGATAGTTACATTACACAGAAAAGAAGGCATATTAATAAGTAGAATAAAGAGCATCAGAGTAGTATCACTGACTACAGAAATGGTGAAAAATACAGGGATTAAAAAATATAAGAATGTTGATTCTTCAACATTTAACATTGAAGGACTACCTCTAAATAATCTGTATCACTAGAGATCTACTAGATTTCCTAACAGAAAATAGAAAAATAGGACCTCTCATTGGTCTCTATCAGTTGTTCTCAACTGAGGTTGATTTTGCCTCTCAGAGGACATTTGGCAACAACTGGAGACATTGTGGGTTGTCCCTGCTTGGAGGGGGTATACTACTGTAATGTAGCGGACAGAGGCCAGGGATGCTGCCAAATAAAAATCCTACTATGCACAGCACAGCTCCAGAAAACACAGAATTATCTAGCCCCACTGTCAACAGTTCCAAGGTGAAAAACCTTGTTCCAAATCTGGTTGTTTTATAAGTCATATAAATTAGCCCTTCTCCCTCACTGGCACTACCTAAACCAAGAGTGGCCTCTGTGACAACCATATACAAATTCCAATTGGCAATATAATTAGAAACAAACACTAAACTCAAATAGTTAATTATAGCTAAGTGGGTACTTAACAATGTTTGAGCACATAAAGGAAACAAAATGTCTGTTAACAAATTAATTCAATTATCTTATTATTCACCAAAACCTTGCAGCAATTGATTTTTTAATTAACTGGTAAGCCTTATATTTGATTTCTCTTTACTGTTAGTCTTTGGTGAAAGGATAAATGAATAGCTGATGATCAGAAAGGAGGTAAGAGAATGAGGGAAAGAGAAATTAGGAAATTGATTAACTACAAATTAGATTTTCCTTTTGGGTTACTTGAAGGTAGATTGCCTTTTATGTTTATTTAAATTTTAATAATGGAGCCCATTAGGCCGAAATCTAATCTGAAATGTAAAGAGGAATTGTAATTTTTCCCTTAACCAAGAAATAAAATATAATTAAAGTTTAATTTATTTCCTTTTAGCTTCCATATAAAGGCTTTAGAGATTCAGCTAGATCAGCCTACCATTTAACCTGCAATACTTGCACTCTGGATTTCAACCTAAAGAATATAATGAAGGAAGGCACAATGGATGTTGGCAGTAAAGAAAAACAACAATTTGAAAGACCAAAAGCTTTGAAGTCCCATAATACAGGGTCTGGCAGAAGCAACTCCTGCTCGACTGTAGTTGGTAGAGTAATAATATGGTGTCATAATTTATAGTTTTAATTTGAACATTTCATCTAAAATGTGACATGGTATGCTTGAGTGTGATATTATTACATTACAAAATTACATGCTTATGATTTTGTAATAGAAGATTCTGTAATAGAAAAGTGGTTTTTTTGTGCCGCAGCCTGTATATGTATGTGTGTGTGTGTATAGTGTGTGTGTGTATATATAGAGAGAGAGTGTGTGTGTGTATATAGTGTGTGTGTGTGTGTGTGTGTGTGTGTGTGTGTGTATATATATATATATATATATCTGTTTAGCTATTAACTTAATTTGGAAATTCTCAAAAACCTGAGAAGTAATAGGAGATAGGAAATTTTATCCCTTGCTCTTTGTATGCTAAATTTCATCATGTTATCAACTTGTAATAAAACCTAAAGACTCTACTGAAATTAAACATAAAATAGAAATAAAGGAAAGGTCTCTAGATTAGAATTTTAACTGGAGTCTCTGGTGAGAACACCTCTGCTATTGACTTCTCCCAGTCCCTAATTAAGGTCTACAGCAATCTCCATTACATATTCATTATCTGTTCACACATGTGACAGTTTCTGAAAGGAAAACTAAAAAATTCTAGTGCTTATTAGATACTTTTCCATATTGTAAAATATAATACTGCTGTGGGACCACACAGAAACTATAAATTAAGACCTGGACATGATTCTTATAAATGACTGAAATACTCTCCTTCAATCACTTATAGAGAACATCCCACAAAAAAATTTTCTAATGTTTTTCTTCATATAATAATAACAAATGCCTAATGTAATCTATTGTCTAATGTAATTGCATAATATTTAACTAGTTTCTAATCAATATAATAGTTGAGAAGAGAGGCATGTCTTGGAAAATAATACATACTTCCCCACTAATGCTTTTTTCTTATGTTATTGCACTATAATTTATATCTACATAGATCATTTATAATAGCCAAATACATTTTTATGTGTTTTATATATAGTAAATTACATAAATCTTCAAGGCATAGTTAATTAATGACATTTTATATATCTATTCACCGACTGGGTATATATGTAACCACCACTCAGTTTAAGACACAGGACAGGACATGTGCCCAGCAAGTTTGGTCATGCTTAGAGGTACCCACACCTTCTAGGTAACCACTAATTTGATTCCTATCACCACAGCTTAGTTTTGCCTGTTCTTAAACTTTATATAAATGTAATACAGTATGTCTTTTTATGTCAGGCTTCTTTTTTCTCAAACAGTGTTTTGGAGATTTGTCCATTTTGTATGTATCAATACCCACAAAACACCTCAATAATATTATGTTAAATTTGTTTATCTCTTTTCTTTTATTTACAGCTTTGAGCTAGTAGTATAATGACAATTAACATTAAGATTTCTTGTGCTTGAAAGAAATGAGCTACTAAGCCATTAAAGACATGAATAAACCTTAAATGCATATTACTAAGTGAAAAAAAACTATCTGAGAAGGCTACATACTGTTCGATTCCACTTATATGACATTCTGGAAAGGTAAAACTATGGAGATAGTAAAAAAGATCAGTGGTTTCCAGGGGTTGGTGGGAAAGTGGCAGGGGTCAATAGGCAGTGCACAGAGGAGTTTTAGGGCAGTAAAAATACACTGCATGATTTTATAATGATGGATGCATGTCATTATACATTTGTCCAAACCCATAGAGTGCACAACACCAGTAGTAAACCCTGAGGTAAACTATAGAATTTGGGTCATTATGATGTGTCAATGTAGGTTCATTCTTGGTGAAAAAATGAACCATTCTTGTGAGTAATGTTGATAATCAAGGAGGCTATGCATATGTGGGAAGAGAGAATATATAGGAAATTGCTGTACCTTCCTCTTAATTTTATTGTAAACCTAACTCTGCTCTAAAAATAAATTATTTTAAAGTTAAAAATAGATGTTTTAGCTCTGTCTTCTGATGGGCATATGACTTCATTTATCTTGGACATACGGATGCTCGGTTGTAGGATATATGTATGTCTGGCTTCAGTAATACTGCCCAAGTTTTCCAAAGTGATCAAACATTCTGCCCCGAAGTATATAAAAGAAAAATTGCTCCACTTCCTCCCCAACACTTGGTATTATAGTCCTTTTAATATTGTGCATTGTGGTGCACGGGTAGTGGAATCTCATTATAGTTTCAGTTTGCTTTTCCCTAATGACTAATGGGATTGAGCATCTTCTCATAAGCTTTTGGGCCTTTGGGCTATCTTCTTCTGAAGTAAGTGCCTTTCCATATCAGCTTCTGACAACTTTCCTTCACTCCTTTTTCCCTAGATCATGGAGAACTGCAAATGTTAGAAACATATCAGATGGCATCAGCAGACCAAGGTGTTACTTAGTGGTCTGGCTGCCCATCTCCATTGTCACCTCTTGCCCCAACTCATGCCATCTAAGCAGTTCAGGTTTATGTAAAGGGGACTTCCCTCCAACTGCCTTCTTCCTGCCAGCAGGCCAGGCCAATACCACCTTCTGGAGGATGAGTTTACTCTCTTTGGAATGAAAAAAATTACTATCCAATGAAGATAATTGAAAGGTGGGTAACCAAGAGGAACATGTTTTGAATTTGTCTCCATAGTCCAACCCAGTGTCCCTCAACTACATTGCACAGAAGAATATTTAATAGCTATTCCACAAAAAGAACATCAAATATATTTGGAAATGCTATACAGTGTATATTTTCCTTTTGAAGACCTACCATTTTAATTAGAGTATGAAAAGTTCAGAGAAGTCCCACAGTAAAGAAACCTACTTAATTTTGTTTGTCCCATTGCTTCATAAACATATTTGACCATGGAACCCTACTTTTTCCACCTTTCAAGTACATCTATTATTATCTTCCAGAATAATGATTCTGTCCTGCTTTAGCTCAATCTTTAGACCAATGTAAAATTCTCTTTGAATTGGTACTAGTTCATAAATTGGAGATACATGTTTACTTGGAAAATCTAAATCTCAGTGATGGGTACCCTTACAAAATAGTATTAAATTCTGGGAAATAGATGAGATCGTGGTGGTGGTCGGTAGAAGGGGAGAGAATACCACATTTGGTCACTACATTAAAGAAAACATGGACCCTGACTGGTGTGGCTCAGTTGGTTGGAAATCATCCTACAAAGCAAAAGATTGCCAGTTTGATTCCCAGTCAAGTCACATGCCTAGGTTGCAGGTTCAGTCGCCAGTTGGGGTGTATATGAGAGGCAACCAATCAATGTTTCTCTCTCATATTGATGTTTTTCTCCTTCTCTTTTTCTCTCCCTTACTCTCTTTAAAACAAACTATCAAACAAACAAAAAAAGGTATATCCAAACTACTCACTGAGGTCTAATTGGTCATTACTCTCTTACTAACCCTCTGTACTTCACTGCTCCCAGCAGCCTACAAATCCCTGTGACATGATGTATTTGCAGTTATACTTTCTGAATGGGTTAGTACATATGATAATAGTACCAATTACTACTTCCCTGGAATCACCTGTAGTGAGGGTATATGCTGTGAGGAAATGTAGAAGTTTATGTACATAATCCTAAAAATTAAAAAAAAAAACAGGGGAGAGAACCTCAAACAAGATGAAGTCTCTGGGTGATGTTCACCCTCCTCTAAAACCAACAGGGTAACAAAATACACGTTGCTTACAAGAGAAAACACTGTCTTTAGGAATGATCAAGTATTAGAAATGAATTAGAAATATATCTATCCAAGTAAATTAAATTTCATTTATTGGGTATCCCTTCTCTAAAATAATTGCATCAATGTTCCTTTCATTCTTTAAAATAAATTCTACCAAACCTAGTTTAAAATTTCAAAAGTAGATCCAGGGAGCAATCCAAGAAACACAGCACAATTTAAAAGGGAAATATAAAACCAATTTCATAACCAAGTGTGAGTACTCAGACATTTTTTTTTCGACATTAACCACAATAAATCCAGTGAACACAGTAAGTTCAGGGAGGAGCCATCCCACTAAAAAGAAAACCATTTATAAGAGGGTATCTTAGATACCTGGCTGAGACTCTTGGTTTTTGAAATGAGACCACAGTTTGGATTTAAAGGCATACTTTTTTCCTAACAATTTTCATTTGGCATTTTTCACCTGGTTAATATCACTTCCAATTCAATCCAAGTGCAAATATAAAATTCACTTACCTGCACAAAACCACATGCTGTGAAGTCTTCAAAGAACGGCAGACTTGGACGATCTTCTCGATAGATGGTGAGTTTGTATGTCATCAGGGTCTCAGCCTGGGATGGAGATTCATCCACCACAAGCATTGAGATTTTGTTTGCTCCTAAACCCAGAGGGTAGTTGGCAAAGCTGGAGAGAGAAACAACTATTCAGCCCAAATGAATTCATACATTAATATTAAATGCCTACAACTTACATAAGGTCTATACAATTTCATAGGAAACCTAAAATGTGAAATAAATATTTAAACTACTGTTTCACATACTTTGGTAAGCTAAGAGTTATTCTGCAGAGCAAGTCACATTGCCCATAAACTATAGAAAATGGAACCTATGTTTATTAACCACCAGTCAGGGTCATACATTATGTCATTTAATACTCACAACACCTCCATACAAAACTATGATTATCCAAATTTTAAATATAGGCACCATGACATAGAACTGGGAAACGAGTTGCCCCAGTCACATAACACAGTCAGGTTTGGGACCCAGATGTGTCTGAGTTGACTCCTCTTTTCTTTCTACGACATTTTTTTTGGCTCCAGGAGATGCAAAGACATTTCTTACCCTACAGCATTGGAACAGGAGTATCTTCTTTGCTATAGACATGGATATAAAAATGTTTTTCCTTCTGCTCAAAATTACAAACAAAATAGTTGGTGAATCTCCAAAGGGTTGGAAGAACAAAACCCCAGTGAGACTAGGAAAGTTAATGTGACTGTGTCCACAAGTTGTCATTACCATGTTTATTAAGTAATCAACCTCTGAATATTCAAGAACTTGAGGAGTTGGGTTGAGTAGGAGGCTATTGTTAGGAAAGACTAACCCTTCAGCAATGTAAAAAATGAACTTCTCCCTTAATGAGTCCTCTTTAATATTTCATATCACAAGATTCACTCTTGTTAAAACATGGTTACCAAGACTCTGTACAAAGACTGCAATAGATCAGTAGAACACTGGTGTGTACTTCTTAACCACATGACACCTGAAAAGTGGAAAAACTTCACATCCTGGCACTCTTTCCAGATGATCTCGTGCCTCAACTTTTCTGAACCACCTTCAAAGGCTGCCTCAATTATCTGTTTCCAAATGTGATGTCATCACCCGGCCCAGCACCACTCCATACCTTGGCCCTGCCCGTTCATTCAGGTACACCTTGCACTGACAGTGAGAAGTCTCCACTCCAATTGTCACTGTTACCACATCAAATGGGACTTCAGAGTAATAATCTTTGATCCTCGGGTTAAATTCAGGACTTAGTTCCAAATGTGGAAGTGTGAAGATCTGCTTGATATGACATTGTTTGTCTTCATCTGTTTTTTTTTTATGACAAAAAGAAGAGACAACTGGTCAGAGTTGATTTGTAACTTCTATTTGTCAAATGTGGTAGCATTTCTTTTATATAACAGCTATGCCTTTACTTGGTGTTATGTAGATCACATTTTTTGTCCAGCCCTGAAAAGTATAAAGGCACAGGAGGTAGGAAAATGTCTCTCCAGTGGATTGATAACATGTTCATGGCATTTACTGCATATTACAAGCAACCGTATAAATGGGGGTGATGACTCTGTGGGGTGGTGACAGAAGGGTACCAGCAGGAAATGAAGAAACTTTCTGAATGGGGAGTGTCATTAAACTGCTGTTGGATTGATAAAGTGGTTTGCAGGCAGCAGGGTGGAACAATGAATGTGAACTCCAATCTTATACCAAACACTGAGAAAGAAAGACATCACAGGGTAGCCGACACCTGCTCCCTACACCAGCCACCTCAGCCTAAGAGAGGACACTGAAGTATAAGAAGGAAATGCTATATTCTTCTCAATTCCATTAAAAAACTTAGCATATTACTTCATACCATTGATTCTAAGCCATTTTTAATAATGCTTCTATCTGGTAAACCAATTTTTATAGGAGTATCTTGGTAAGAAAAAAGAAAAATAGCTATACAGGTTCTTATACCAGCCATGGCTAAATTATATTGTGTTCATATTTGGAATAACCAAATTACTCAAAAGAAATTTAGCAAATGTTTTCCAAAGAAATATTAACAAGTATTTAGTTCCAAAATACTTTTCAATGGACAATAAAGTTCTGATAAAGAAAAACATAGTTAATTCTACAGAAATTGGTGAAATAAAAGTGTCTGCACTGCCTTTAAATTAGCAACAAAAAATAACAGAATTTTCTCTGGGAAGTTATACAACTGAACTTAAAAAATAGATCATCTTATTAACTGTTGTCTCTTCCTCTATTTTTTAAATCCTAGCTCAAGGATATGCTTATTGATTTTAGAAAGGAAGGGAAAGAAAGAGACAGAGAAGCATCGATGTGAGAGAGAAACATCCATCAGTTGCCTCTCATATGCACCTCAACCAGGGATCGAACCCACAACCTTTGGTGTACAGGACGATGCTCCAACCCACTGAGCCACCTGTTCAGGCCTCTTCCTCTATTTTTATATGACAATCACAATGAATTTCCTAAAATCAAGTAATCAGATTTGTCTTCAATGTTTTAATGGTTTCTCATCACCTCCAGAATTCAGTCCAAAGCCCTAATAAAGCAGGCAAGGCACTTCACAATCTCTTCCTTGTCTTCCTCTGAATTTGTTGCATCTCCTATTACATCTTAGACTCTGTGCTTCAGCAATACCAAAAGTTTTAATTTCTC